TCTCTGGATCATCCATCATTGTGGCTCCTTTACTCTCTCTGGATCAACCATCATTGTGGCTCCTTTACTCTGTCTGGCTCCATCCATCATTGTGGCGCCTTTGGCTACCCTATTACCAAAATATACTGATTGAAACAAATAAGGGAACAATGGAAAGCATAGGGAAAAAACCTTTACTGTCAGACATTTGAAATAGCATGCATACAATTTCAACACATCAAATGCTGAGATGTGTTTGTGTGCATTGTTTCACACGCGTATTGGTAGACAAGGCTTGGAACCCATGATAGCATACCATTTTACTGTGTCTAAAACTAAGTGTTCCCTTATTCATTTCCATCAGTATATTTTTAAGAGCAACTTTCAAACCAACTCCCTCTCTCACGCTCTTACAAAGCCCAGCACAATATCATGGCAAAATATGGCTAAATAGTAATTTGTATCCACATTGACCACTCAAATACTATGAATGTATATATTCAAATGAGGAACGAAAATCAACATTATATTCTGGGATCACATCTGTTTACTTAGACAAGTAATGCTTTCAACAGTCGTAACTAATCCATTCCGTTATGCCTGTCTCCTACTGGAGCCTACAACAATGGTGTCTGGTAGATCCACATGTTCCTGACTGAGAACCTCTCATGTATCAATGTTTATCAGCCCCTGGTCCAGACAGGTTAATGAGAGGTTTTAAGATACCATCATTATGCATTGATTTCCATATAAAACATTGATAAGAGCATTACTTTTACATACTCTACATCCTCGTATAGACTGGTGATGAGTAAAATGTTTCAGTTCTAAAGGTGTGTGTTGCTGATGAAAGTCTCTCTTACGATTTCTTATTTTAGAATATATACCAAGGTGAGGCTATTGGTATTGAATAAAGGTCGGACATTATGTTACCATGACACAGACTGGTAAACCATCAGCGTATGTATGGCAACACGTTAGACCTGTTCCAGATAGTGTTCAGTGCATGTATGGCAACACGTCAGACCTGTTTCCGAAAGTGTTCAGTGCATGTATGGCAACATGTCAGACCTGTTTCCGAAAGTGTTCAGTGCATGTATGGCAACACGTCAGACCTGTTTCCGAAAGTGTTCGGTGAGTAGTGCTTGAGTAGTGTTTGTGACTATGTTCTCTATGTTCTCTATGTTCTCTATGTTAACTTGGATTTTGAGTTGTATCCCTTTGTTGTGTGAGGATCTGCTGATTAAGGTCTGAATCCCAGATGTGACCTGATCCTCTGTTTGTGACATCCTTGGTTATCCAGTGTTATATTTTATGTCCCTTCCAAAATGATATACATACACTGGACCCATATCCCACCCTAACTTCGTTGCGGAAGTGACATCACGATCTCCATCGCCAACTCAGCTGATGAGGTTGGACCCAACAACTGAATTGACTCTTCTTGACAAAAGTTTGGCATCAATGTACGTACAAACACAGGACTATGCTTGTCTTAAGAGGCGACTAAAGGGATCGGGTGGTCAGGCTCGCTGACTTGGTTGATGCATGTCATCGATCCAAATTGCGTAGATCGATGCTTATGATGTCAATCACTAGATTGTCTGGTCCAGACTCGATTATTTACAGACTGACGTCATTTAGCTGGAATGTTGCTGAGTGCAGCGTTAAACAACAAATAAACAAATCATTCATGCAACCCTGAATATGTTTCATAGGAATTGATTCCCACCATAGAGTGAGTGAGTGAGTTTGGTTTTACGCCCCTTTTAGCAATATTCCAGCAATATCATGGCGGGGGACACCACAAATGGGCTTCACACATTGTACCCATGTCGGGATTCGAACCCGGGTCTTCGGCGTGACGAGCGAACGCTTTAACCACTAGGCTACCCGACCTCCCCTCCCACCATAGAGGGAATGCTGGGTAGAATATGACATGGTGAGATGGTGAAACTAGCTAGGCTCATTGTTTGCAATGGGATTTAAATAAAAGCGACAAAATCAATTTCCGACTATGTCATGAGCATGTGTTTATGAATCACTGTCAAATAGCACAAGTATTGTACAAAATAGGGAATTGCATTGGCTATCTTTTTCTTTACCGATGAGTCAAATGTGGAAGAGCTCATGTCTACCAATGACAAGGAGAATAACATCACGTTGTTGCACTTAAGACGTGGAACTGTTTCTAGATGATGGTATTATGGTTTGAGTTGTCATCCGTGGCAAGACGGATCTGGTGATTTATGTGTAGGATAAAGCATGTCCAAGGGTTTTTATGATATTTAAAACCAAGAGGCGTGTGGGCAAGTGTTTTATCTAACTTATAAAATGAAAATAGAAACTTAAAACAACATTTATCAACATTTTCATATGTTAAACATACTTCCCATGAACCTTAGGAAACCGGCGCAAAATATCTGTTGCTGGCGTATGGTATTTGAACAAGACATTCTTAAAAGCATTGTGATTTATCAGCGCCCCTGTAGCCTAGCGGTACACTCAATAGGCTACAGATACCAAGGTTGCATGTTTAATCCTCAGGAATATATAGAAAATATATGTTACTGATTTTACATTTCATTACATTGTGTTCAAATGCAAAATAAATTTCTGGCAAGAAACATTCAAAAGTTACAATCTGAACGGAAGTTGTATTAATAAAATTACCGGGATATCATAACATGTTATATAGCAAATATCCCCGGGGTTTTACGACATCCCTGTTTATGATATTTAATCCCACTGGAGAACAATAGGATGACGTCACTGGAGGTTTATGAGAAGGAAATACCACTGGACAGCGTTACATTGACCAAGTTCTCTGTCGTTCTTGCAACAGAATCAACGAACCCTGTTTCAGCAAGATAATAATAATAAATATCAGTGACATTCCTTTCCACATTCATAAAAAATCTCCCCTAAAAGAGCAGAGTCAGTTGTACAATTCAGATAATAGCATGCGAAAGTCTTTATGTGTTTCGCGAAATGGTGGTACCCGTCAGAAACACATGCAGAGGAAAGTCAATTGTTAACCTAAAAAAAACCACTGGGAACATATGGTGCAAGTCAAATGTATTACTAGGAAATTCCACCAACATTGTTGCCACTGTTGTCTTTGTTGTCACTGATATATCAAAATTGTCTACCATACAACTTTTTAATAGCTTTACTGAGACCTTGAATGTTGTAACCTTGCTTAAACCTTAATCAAACTACATCTCAAATAGATTTTTAACTTTAGTGGACAGCCATTTAGAATATTTTGGATGATACCAAGTGTGTGTTATATTAACAGGTCGTTGGAGTAGCATAGTGGTTGAAGTGTTCACTTGTCAAGCTGAATCCTTGGTTTGATTCTCCACTTAGTTACATTGTCTTGGGCCCATTAAAAACATCCTCACTGACTCACAAAACTTGTTTATCAGTAGAGACACCCAAATGGATCGACCCATATTATTATTTACTGCGCTAACATTTTCATAATGTGCAAGTCAAGGGCTCCTATATTTTGAAGCAGAGCTAAATGTATTAACAGAAGGAAACTCTCCACAATCCGTATTTTGTAGAGTCCTTGACCTTAAACTTTGAAGTCTTCTTCGTTTGGACACCTTTTCCTGAATGAAACCTCTTCAGTGTTTTTCACACAAACTGATCACAGTTCAGGCACTTTCAATATGGCCGACAGGAAGGACAAAGTGACTGTCCATTAATGATTTTCTGAGTGTCATGGTTTACATGCCTAGCTTGCTGCTTTTAAGATAATGAATCGGACTTCTACTTAAATGTTATAATTTAGATGGTTTGCTTCATGATTTTGTCAAGTGGAAAGTCAAGTCAGAAAACTTATTTGCAAAGCCTGTTCCACCTAGCCATGCTTCATTACCGAGATGGACTTGATATGATCGTGTATGATCTTCAGACCCTATGGAGTCTTCAACTCTTGAAAATTTGAGTTCATTTCCAAATCTGATTGGTGATGAGGGTTTTTCAAATATTTTTCTGACTTTTTATCATAGCTATCAAGAGTTGAAATAGTGATTACATTCTTGGAGGGGAAAATAATTTTGATTTATTCACACAACCATGAAATCAAAGATTCAATTTAAAAATACCTTAAGGAATTATTATAGCTTTTTATCAAGATGATTTTCTGTGAACTAAGTGGAAAAAGGCCCTACTTATATGGTGGTTGAAGTTTGGAGAATGGATCGTAATGAAGAGCTGCTATTATGAGATCTCTGCCTGGAACATAGATGTGTTCCTCAGATGGCTTCCTTGATTATTCAGTGTATCATAGCTCCATTTCATTATTGTAAATAGGGGGGCACAGGTGGCCCAAGCATCTAAGAAAACCATGAACCTGAAACCTATGATTGTGAGTTCGAATCCCAGTTTGCCCTGGTTATGTTTCTAGGTTTGTCAGCACCATACCCATGCTTGTGGGTTTCACCAAAGTGGTAAACGTCTCAGACCTGTATCACTTCAGGCTTTCCTTCCACATTAAGCTGAGACACCATGATATAACTTGACTACTATTAAAAAATAACCCCAATATATATTATTTTTCTATGATACACACAACTGACTCTCATATGTCAAGTGTATATTTGAATGGAATGGCGTATCTGATTATCCCTATCAAAAGTTGAGTAGTATAGTTACATTCATAATACATGTGGGGCGGTCGGGTAGCCTAGTGGTTAAAGTGTTCGCTTGTCATGCCGGAGACCCGGGTTCGATTCCCGACATGGGTACAATGTGTGAAGCCCATTTCTGGTGTCCTCCACCATGATATTGCTGGAATATTGCTAAAAGCGGCGTAAAACCATACTCACTCACTCACTCACTCACTCACTCACTCACTCACTCACTCACTCACTCACTCACTCACTCACTCACTCACTCACTCACTCACTCACTCACTCACTCACTCACTCACTCACTCATAATACATGTATTCCTTGTGTTTTGCTGTCTGGCCTTAATCACATTTCCCTTATTATTTTTTTTTCTAGGCCTTTTCCCACAACAGACCGGCCATTGTGATATGTGTCAACTATAATCCATAGATTCAAGATATGGTAAGTAGAAAAAATATTGTTTTTCATTCTCTCTGATGGTTTAGACGCATAGTCATCCCGGTCAGAACAGGTCACCGGCATCCTATGCTGGATGTAAGAGATGACCAAATGGATCGGGTGGGCAGGATGGGTGACTTGGTTGATTATGTGTCATCGTACCCAGATGGCGTGGATCGTTGCTCGCAATACCAATCACTGGTTTGTCTGGTCCAGGCAGCCATCGTATAGCTGGAATACTGCTGAGTGCAGCATTAAACAACACCCAAACTAATCTGATATGTATTTCCCATGGCCAGAATAATTTTGTTTTTAATGTTTGATTTAGTTCCTGAAGCCTTAGACCCCTAAAGTCGCATATCTGTATTTTATTATTATAATTAGAGTGGACCCATGTGCTACCATATCATCACATGAGACCTGATTTCGCCATGTCCATCTTCCTTATCAGTAGCTTGACACATCATTTGTCTCGGTCCTCTGACACGAAGCCTTTTCTAACACACGTAAATTTGTTTACAGGTTATGGCTAAAATGTTCTACATCCTGCATTTTATACAGACGTAGTGTCTGTATGTTCCCATTAAGTCGAACACACTTAGCAACCTTATACTAAACAAATACAAACTATTGAGCCAATCAATTATTTATTCCATTTTTTCACCAACCCAAGCTGGGTAGTTAGGACAAATTTGTAAATCAGAAAATGGAATAATGCCAATGTATTTCTTTATTGCAAGTTTTTCACAATTACCTTCCAATCCCGACCGAGATTTATTCACTAATTCAACATGGAACTTGAATAAACTTCATCTGGCCTGAGTGTACAACATCTCTGGTGTTGCTGATTACTCTTGAACTTCCCGGTGGCTTCAGTTGGGACAGAGATTCATGTTAGTCTATCACATCATGGATCATTACTTTCATGAGTTGTGGAACAAAATCCGATATGACACGTATCCAGAGCAAAGTCTCACACAAGCTCTGCACTAGGTTTCCTAAAGTGACAATAATGTCATTAGCCTGCTCATGTTTTTGACGGACATTGTATGCTGCACGGTGGCAAGCCTTCACGACATGCAGATGTACTGAGAGGTGCACTGAGTGCACATGACATGGTATACTGCATGGAGGTTAGTTTCCTACATGCACAATGTGCAGATACTGCACAAAGGCTCGCCTCAACAATGTGCAGATACTGCATGAAGGCTAGCCTCCACAACATGCAGATACTGCATGAAGGCTATCGTCCACTATGTGCAGATACTGCATGAAGCCTAGCCTCCAAAATGTGCAGAAACTGCATGAAGGCTAGTCTCCAAAATGTGCAGATACTGCATGAAGGGTAGCCTCCAAAATGTGCAGATACTGCACAAAGGCTCGCCTCCTAACATCAGATACTGCATGAAGGCTAGCCTCTAAAATGTGCAGATACTGCATGAAGGCTAGCCTCCAAAATGTGCAGATACTGCACAAAGGCTCGCCTCCTAACATGCAGATACTGCATGAAGGCTAGCCTCCACAATGTGCAGATACTGCTTGAAAGGCTAGCCTCCACAATGTGCAGATACTGTATGAAGGCTAGCCTCCACAATGTGCAGATACTGCATGAAGGCTAGCCTCCAAAATGTGCAGATACTGCATGAAGGCTAGCCTCCACAATGTGCAGATACTGCTTGAAGGCTTGTCTCCTAACATGCAGATACTGCATGAAGGCTAGCCTCCACAATGTGCAGATACTGCATGAAGGCTAGCCTCCAAAATGTGCAGATACTGCATGAAGGCTAGCCTCCACAATGTGCAGATACTGCTTGAAGGCTTGTCTCCTAACATGCAGATACTGCATGAAGGCTAGCCTCCAAAATGTGCGAATGTACTGAAAGGGTCACTGGGTACTTACAACATCTTAGCGAAGCTTCCCCAGTGTCAGAGCATGTTCAACAATCGAGGCCACAAGGTGTGAATAAATCATCTTAATCAAATACTGCATCCTTTGTATAGGTTCAGAATCATTCAGCACGTTGGCATAGAGTTATTGAATTGTCATACAGATCCTATTGACATGCTGTTGACCTTGAGAGTGGAACAAGAGGTCATGAGGCTGTTAAGTGTGTTCGGACTCCCTTGGAGGTGAATGGTCCTTCATAGCAGTTTTGAAGTAAGCTTACAAAGTGTGAATTAGCATGGATATTATTTCACAGTGTTTGACAAGATTTGCTTGATCAATGACATGAATAGCTTCATCTCACATGTTGCCAGTGGCAAGATCATTAGTCATTGATGATTTCAACAAAGACAGCAACAGTCTTTGCCAAAGCTGGACAGTGTGGAAAATTAATATGGATAATATATTGTGGTATTGGCAAGACTTGTTCTGTAAGCTGAGGAGTATTAGTCAGTGGACAGCTCAAAATGTGACCTTTTGTGTAAGAACTGTGTCTCTCTGGCTGTATTCCAGAAAGCCATTTCAGTGGTTATGACCATCATAGATATTCTTTAAAACTACAGTTGTAGGACTGCCGAATAGGATAAAGGTTTATAACAAATGATGTTGATGGTTGATCAGGCTGGACAGGCATATATGGGACTATATGATGCTGGGAGCATTCTTATTGATTATTAAGCCTGATGTACATTAGTGTAGCCTAATGTAGACATGTAACAGACTCTCATACCACCTTGTATTATCTGGACTGAAGATCATAGCCACTCATAAGTGAAGTATGTGCTTAGAGAGAAAACAGTGAGTGAGTGAGTTGGGTTTTATCACCGCTTTGAACAGTATTCCAGTTATATCATGGTGTGTCAGCTTAATGTGGGAGGAAAGATGAAAGTGAAGCAGGTCTCAGACGTTGACCACTTCTGCAAAACCCACGAGCACAGGAATGGTGCTGACAAACCTAGAAACATAATCAGGGCGAACCGGGATTTGAACCCACAACCATAGGTTTCTGGCGTGCCCAAGATGACTGGGCCACCCATGCTCCCTGAGAGAACAGAGAAATGATTGAATGCAGGGAACTGGTTTTCATAATTTCAATTCAATCAAATTTATATCAATGTTGTGTTTGCTTTTTCCTAAACAGCTATTAAAGAGTATTTCATTAAAGTCCTATTCAATTAAAAAAAATTAACTTGTAGAATATGCTGAGAATGTTGGTAATGTGTATTGTGAACCAATATTGACATAATAAACTTTTATTCATAACATTTTACATTTCACAGTTGTCACTAGTCACTAACTGTAAATTGCTGGTATCAATATTGAATGATGAACGATGATAAATAGGATCACAATTATTTTGTATGAGGTTCAATTCTACCAGTGGCTCATTACCTAACAATGTTCCATTACACTGTTGATATTGAAGTCCTCCCACACAGAGATTATTTGAGTGCAACGCTTGATATTATTCTTTGATAGCAATTTTAATTAATCATGTTTGTACAGCCCATCTTGACTGCGGAAGGTGAGAGAACCGTCATTAATACCTGTCACATCGTTTGGTATTACAACATGGTATTGATTTTCCCTCTTTGTAAATATTGAAATTAAGATGCCCCTTACAGAGCATGTCAGATGTAACGAATTTGCACAAATCTTTCATTGTTAGATACTTCTTTCAATCAAACAGCTTTTCCGCAGCTACATCAGGGAAAAACTTATTTTATTGACTCATTAATCATAGGAAGTTCATCTGAAGGTTCTTTAAACACCCATCTCTGCATGGCTGATTTGGATATTTGTTCAATTACCCCAGATGTCGATGAATAAAATTGTTGGTCTTTAACTCTATCGGTATACAATATACCCTATAATTTTCAGGAAAACTGTTGATCTGGCACCCAACCATATCATTTTTGCTCACTAAGTAGATAATTGCTTAGACTTAAATAGAATCATCTGCCAATGATGTCGATGGACATTGATTCCGTTGCCAGATGAATGGTACCGAGAACATGGAAAGTGGTATTGGTGAGTGGTGCTGATAGTGTTTGAAGATGATCATCACATCAGACTGCCACATCCGCATTGTTGATTTCCTTTTATCACCTCCACACTACTAACCTTAATAGGAGTGTTATCAGATAATGGAATTGAACCTTCCCGGGGAACATGTGGTGGTACACATCATAAGTTCCTGTTTGTTTCGTATTGGTCATCAGTTCCTGGCTGTTGGACACCTAGCACTGGCTGTTGGTCATCAGTGCCTGGCTGTTGGACACCTGGCACTGGCTGTTGGTCATCAGTGCCTGGCTGTTGGTCATCAGTGCCTGGCTGTTGGACACCTGGCACTGGCTGTTGGTCATCAGTGCCTGGCTGTTGAACACCTGGCACTGGCTGTTGGTCATCAGTGCCTGGTTGTTGGACACCTGGCATTGGCTGTTGGACACCTGGCACTGGCTGTTGGTCATCAGTGCCTGGCTGTTGGTCATCAGTGCCTGTTGGACACCTGGCACTGGCTGTTGGTCATCAGTGCCTGGCTGTTTGTCATCAGTGCCTGGTTGTTGGACACCTGGCACTAGCTGTTGGTCATCAGTGCCTGGCTGTTGGACAACTGGCACTGGCTGTTGGTCATCAGTGCCTGGCTGTTGGACAACTGGCACTGGCTGTTAGTCATCAGTGCCTGGCTGTTGGACACCTGGCACTGGCTGTTGGTCATCAGTGCCTGGCTGTTGGTCATCAGTGCATGGCTGTTGGACACCTGGCACTGGCTGTTGGTCATCAGTGCCTGACTGTTGGACACCTGGCACTGGTAGCTTGACAACTGTCACTGGCAGTATGTTTTGCACTAATCATTAGTACTTGTGATTGGACACCTGTCATTGGCAGTATGTTTAGCACTAATCATTAGTACTTGTGATTGGACACCTGTCACTGGCAGTAAGTTAAGCACTAATCATTGGTATTTGTGATTGGACACCTGTCACTAGCAGTACGCTTAGCGCTAATCATTGGTACTTGTGATTGGACAGCTGTCACTGGTGGTACGTTTAGCACTAATCATTGGTACTTGTGATTGGACACCTGTCACTGGTGGTACGTTTAGCACTGATCATAGGCACTTGTGATTCGAACACCTAAGTCACTTTTTGGATGGCCATGTTTATCGCAATTACTCACACTATAGCGGGGGGTGTAGCATCACTAACACATTCTTTAATACTCAGATGATGGATTGTTATTAAGATAAAGTCGTCTTTTATAAGTGAGTGAGATATTTACAGTTGTTCTTGTGATTAGCGAGAAAACTACGTATGTTTCTTAAGCGACCGAAAACCCATAACACATGGATAAATTTAGCACTAATCATTGGCACTTGTGATTGGACACCTGTCAGTGGCACTTCTTTTTGCACTAATCATTGTGTACTTGTGATGTGGACACCAGTCACTGATGTATCGTCGGATCATAGGTTTTCGGACATCATAGGTTTTTGGACGGCCATGTTTATCACAATTACTCACACTATAGCGGGGGGTGTAGCATCACTAACACATTCTTTAATACTCAGATGATGGATTGTTATTAAGATAAGTCGTCTTTTATAAGTGAGTGAGATATTTACAGTTGTTCTTGTGATTAGCGAGAAAACTACGTATGTTTCTTAAGCGACCGAAAACCCATAACACATGGATAAATTTAGCACTAATCATTGGCACTTGTGATTGGACACCTGTCAGTGGCACTTCTTTTTGCACTAATCATTGTGTACTTGTGATGTGGACACCAGTCACTGATGTATCGTCGGATCATAGGTTTTCGGACATCATACGTTTTTGGACGGCCATGTTTATCACAATTACTCACGCTATAATGCTGCGTGTAGCATCACACATACTTTGTAGATACTCAGATGATGGCTTGTTTTCAAGATAAAGTCGTTGTTTATTAGCAAGTGAGATGTTTTACAGTTGTTCTTGTGATTAGCGAGAAAACTATGAATGTTTCTTAAGCATCCAAAAACCAAAAACACGGGGATACGTTTAGCACTGATCATAGGCACTTGTGATTTGGACACCTAAGTTTCTGGTAACTAGTATCATCGGATCATAGGTTTTTGGATGGCCATGTTTATCGCAATTACTCACACTATAGGGGGGGGTGTAGCATCACACAGACATTGTATAATACTCAGATGATGGATTGTTATTAAGATAAAGTCGTCTTTTATAAGTGAGTGAGATATTTACAGTTGTTCTTGTGATTAGCAAGAAAACTACGTATGTTTCTTAAGCGACCGAAAACCCATAACACATGGATAAATTTAGCACTAATCATTGGCACTTGTGATTGGACACCTGTCAGTGGCACTTCTTTTTGCACTAATCATTGTGTACTTGTGATTTGGACACCAGTCACTGATGTATCGTCGGATCATAGGATTTCGGACATCATACGTTTTGGGACGGCCATGATTATCACAATTACTCACGCTATAATGCTGTGTGTAGCATCACACACACTTTGTAGATACTCAGATGATGGCTTGTTTTCAAGATAAAGTCGTTGTTTATTAGCAAGTGAGATGTTTTACAGTTGTTCTTATGATTAGCGAGAAAACTATGAATGTTTCTCAAGCATCCAAAAACCAAAAACACGGGGATACGTTAAGCACTAATCATTGGCTCTTGCGATTTGGACACCTGTCATTAAACATGCGTTTGTTTTTGTACCAACATTCACAAGCAGTTGTTGGATTTGTTTGAGATCAGTCATCAGGACCTATTTGTTTGAGATCAGTCATCAGGACCTATTTGTTTGAGATCAGTCATCAGGACCTATTTGTTTGAGATCAGTCATCAGGACCTATTTGTTTGAGATCAGTCATCAGGACCTATTTGTTTGAGATCAGTCATCAGGACCTATTTGTTTGAGAGCAGTCATCAGGACCTATTTGTTTGAGATCAGTCATCAGGACCTATTTGTTTGAGATCAGTCATCATGACCTATTTGTTTGAGAGCAGTCATCAGGACCTATTTGTTTGAGATCAGTCATCAGGACCTATTTGTTTGATATCAGTCATCAGGACCTATTTGTTTGAGATCAGTCATCAGGACCTATTTGTTTGAGATCAGTCATCAGGACCTATTTGTTTGAGATCAGTCATCAGGACCTATTTGTTTGAGATCAGTCATCAGGACCTATTTGTTTGAGATCAGTCATCAGGACCTATTTGTTTGAGAGCAGTCATCAGGACCTATTTGTTTGAGATCAGTCATCAGGACCTATTTGTTTGAGAGCAGTCATCAGGACCTGTCTGCTGCAGATCAGTCATGATAACCTGTTTTATGGAAATAAAGGCCATTTATTTAATATTGTCTGTCACCTGACTGTTGTGTGCAGTGTTTGACAGTTCGGAGTGGATGTGTTCAATGTGTGGACTATAAGACATAAAGAGAATTCTGATAGATCATTGATGTCACAATGTCCTGCACAGCATTTATTGTTGGATCCAATATCTTGTTGAAACTTGGTCACTGCTGTCTGGCAAAAGTCTGGATGATAAGTTTACAGAGGCTATATAATCAAAACCATTTGTCCTGTAAATGTTGAATTTGTTATGTTTGTCTGATATACAATATCATGCTTTCTTGATGTGACTTGTTTTTGTCTGTTTTCGATCTTGTGGTAGACCTTATACTGTCTAGAACGCTCTGTTAATATGACCAGGGTTAGAATTGTTCCCCAGTAACATGTGCTAGTTGTAAGTCCACTAAACTTAATCAGGTGGTCAGACTCGGTGAAATGATTGCTTGCAAATATCCCACCCAGGTGATGTGGGACCTTGTTCATTATATCAACCACTGGTTTGTCTGTCCCAGGCTCAATCATTTATAGACCGCCTCCGTGGTCTAGTTTGCCCGGAGAGCAGAAGGTCTGGGGTTCGATCCCAAAAGACTCCCGGGACTCCCAAAAGACTGATGTGTAAGAATCCCGGGACTGTAGGTTTGAATCCCAGATTTAACCTGATAATGATTCTTGGTTTGTCCTCACTCACTCACTCACTCAGACAAACATGGACAGTCATTCACCTGCATCTTATTCATCATGTCAAAAGCAGCGTCTGTGGTATAGAGGATAGAGTATTATGCTGCACAGAGAGCGTAAAGTCAGTTGTTCGATCCCCTGACTGCCTCCATGGTGTAGTGGATAGAACATTCACCTGAGGAGCAGAAAGTCAGTTGTTCGATCTCATTGCTGCCTCCATGGTCTTGTGGACAGAGAATCATCACGGAGATTGGAAAGTGGCTTGTTTGAGCCATATCAAAAGACGTTAAAAAGAGGTGAGGTGAAGTGAAATTGGCTTTAACGTCATGTCCAAGAATATTGCACTTATATAGCGACGTGCATGCACGTGTGTGTGTGGCTGCTTGTACTAGTCCGGACTGATGCCGATTTATAGTGCAAGCTCACTGAGATGCCATGCCGCACATTAAGGGGATAAAACAGGTCAATCTAATGTGTCTGAGTGATGTTTCCATGTTCAACTTATATCTATTTGTTAATAGACTTATTTATTTATATCAAACTAACTGTTCATGTCCAACTACTTGCTATTTTGAACTATTGTCAAACTATGACTGTTTAGTATTATAAGGGTAACGTTATTTTTCAGGGCATTATCATTTGCAGAAGCCTGAGGTCTGAAAAGTTTGAGGGCTTCTGCAAATGATAATGCCCTGAAAAATAGCGTTTCTGTTATTATAGCTGAAATGGATATAATTTGTTATCAAATAAAAATAAACCACTATCGGTTTTGAAACATTTGCTGCAATCAACATGAATTTCACTCACCCTCTTTGACAAATATGAAAACATCATAGAACAAACAAGATGACGTCACTATTGAACCTTTCCCTATCCCTATGATGCACCTAACAACGGGCGTAATAATAATAGCCCCTCGTCAATAAGGCATTATCAAGTTACAGTTGCCGGCTCATTTCTGATAAAATGCAAGATGTATAATGATAATTCTATCCATTTTGGCTATAAATTCTACAATGTATCATATATTTGCCTGTAGTGTTCTGTGAGCCATGTCTGACTTGTTGGAAACGTGCTGTATCAGAGTACTCAGGTTGTAGCCCATATTCAGTTTAGAAAAGGTCCCCAACACTCTAATGAATATTGCAGGAAGCCATGCTTCTTTGTCCATTACTAAGGCGGCTGTGAAATATAGCCGGAACTTAGCTGGCTAAGCATTAATCAACAAACCAAACAATATCCCAAACACCTTATGTCAAATTGCTCGCTTGTCCAACTTTGTTGTTTCCATATAGAGTTCCAACAGTTGTAATATTGAGTATAGTTTAGGCTGCATTACAAAATATGGTTCTCAGGGACATTCTTCTCAAAGGGAGTTGGTAGGACTTGAAAACATGACACTTTGTTATGAATAAAAGCTTCTTTTATTCTTTGTAATGCTGCATCAGAGCTACTTCTTGTGTGAGAGTAAATATGGTCCCCCTGAACATTTGTTCTGGAGGAATCAATATACCAGAACTATTGGTTCCTGTGGAAGAATATACCCAGGATGAGGACTCGGTCAATTTCTACATGAGAATTTCTATGCCCCTGGAACAGTTATACCTGGGACTTATTCGTCACTCACTAGATAAAGCTTTGAAACGTTGTTACAAAGAATACAAAAGTTGTTATCCTTAACGAATTGTCTTGATATCAAATATATCAACACGATGTTCATATTCTTCCAACTT